CATCCTGAGTCTGATCTCACATGATGGGCCAGAGACTGCTAGTGGTCTCTAATATCTGTTCTCCTCTTTTTCTTTAGTGTCAGGACTGAGCACATGGCTACTCAGTAGAAATGACATGTTTCGACATTATTTATAGTTAAGTTCCCGGGCACGTGAGTGGCTCAGTCAGTTGAGCCTCCGACTCTCGATTTTGGCTCAGGTCATGAACTCATGATTCATGAGTTCAAGCCCTGCACTGGGCTCTGCATTGACAGTGTGGAGCCTGCTTCGGATTCTCTCTTTCTCCAAAAAAAGAGTTAAGTTCTGACCAATCAGGGGTAAGTGTAGTGAGGTATACACTGCAAGTGTTCTTAAATAGAGGGAGATGTCCTTTTCTGCCCTTATCTCTTTTCTGCTGGGTGGAAATAAGGATGTGATGGCTGAAGCTTGAACAGCCATTATGGATCATAAGGTACAAGCTGCGTGTTCAAGATGGTAAAGCCACATGATAGAGAGAGAGAGAGAGCCTGTGTCTGTGTTGATCAGAAAGCTACCATACCAACATAAGAGGAATACATTTTATTTTATTTAAGCTACTGCTATTTTGAGTTTTTAGCTGCGACAGACACCAATCCCTCCATGAAAATACATTGTTTAGGATAATTTTCTGGTGGCCAATGATAGGAATCCACTGAAAATATAAGCAGAATGGCAGAATTAAACATACAAGGATTTGTCACAGAACCTATGGGTAGGAATGAAGAAAGCCTCAGGAATAGACTGGAACCTGGGACAGTGGGGAGGCCAAGAGGTCCTCTCATTGTGTCTCACCTCTCCTTCTCTTCTCTCTCACTGCAGATTATTTATATATCTGGCATAGAGAAGTAATAAATAAATATGAGTTCAATGGATGGCAATTTGGGCGTCTATAGATCTGAAGCCAATTACCCAAACTTTTCCTTATATGTATGTAGCTTGTTAAAGTGACTCTTTTGAAGAGCACCATACTTTTTAGAGTCTAAGCTCTTCTGTTAACCTTTTTCTCTCAGCTTTCCAAGTTTTTGCAGTTGTTTATTCCAACATTAGAAAAAGGGCCTGAAATGCAGAATTGTCCATAACCGATCTAATAAAAGACACTTCAGAGACAGCTCTGCTTTTGTACAGAAGTTGTGAAATTCCCCAATTTTTGTGGGAATGCAAACACTAGCTTGCAAATAATTATTTTGCTAGACAAGGAAATATTATTTTTGGTACATTTCCCCTTGTAAACATCTTCTTTCTTTCTTTCTTTCTTTCTTCCATTTTGCATTGTTATTATTTACTGTCTGGGTTCCTGCTTTTACCTAGTTTTTTTGCCCTTGAGGATTTCTTATGTTCTTATCAGCTTATTGATATGTTTGATAAGACGTTTTATATATTTCATCTAGCACTTTGAGTTGCTTTTGGTGGGGCAATCAGCCAGTCTCTAGTTTGCCATACTGCTGGACATGAAGTCCGGTATACTTTTTAGAGTTTTAACTTCATTTGTCTGTAAGATATTACCCTGTATTCTTTTTTTTTTTTTTTTAACGTTTATTTATTTTTGGGACAGAGAGAGACAGAGCATGAACGGGGGAGGGGCAGAGAGAGAGGGAGACACAGAATCGGAAACAGGCTCCAGGCTCTGAGCCATCAGCCCAGAGCCCGACGCGGGGCTCGAACTCACGGACCGCGAGATCGTGACCTGGCTGAAGTCGGACGCTTAACCGACTGCGCCACCCAGGCGCCCCAATATTACCCTGTATTCTGAAGACCAAGGCCCTAACTTTGGTGGTCCAAGCTCCCTGTCGGTAAAGATGAAGATTACCTTTCTACCTATGTCAAATTGTTTTTTGTAAAAGGTTCATGAGATAATTCATGTGAAGTTAGTTTGAAACTGGAAAGTACCCTGTAAATATACATTGTCTGGACTTGGAAAAACAAAAGAGGCAAATAAGCAATAAAAAATTATAACTGATGACTTGTCAATTAAAAATTTCTGGATATTTGCATTCATCGCCTTCATTTTCTGGCCTCAGGTATGGATGTGAAAGTCTTAAGATTTCTCTAAAAAATACAATATCATCTTATATATTGTATAATTTATTTTTTTAATTTTTTTATATTAAAAAACTTTTTTTAACATTTATTTATTTTTGAGACAGAGAGAGACAGAGCATGAATGGGGGAGGGGCAGAGAGAGAGGGAGACACAGAATCGGAAGCAGGCTCCAGGCTCTGGGCCATCAGCCCAGAGCCTGACGCGGGGCTCGAACTCACGGACCGCAAGATCGTGACCTGAGCTGAAGTTGGACGCTCAACCGACTGAGCCACCCAGGCGCCCCTGTATAATTTATTTTTTTAATGAAAGAGAAAGAAGGCAGATTTGAGCACACAGCAAAATCTATCATCATATTTTTAAAGTTTGTGAAGTGTCTGTCTCTTTAATATATGGGTGAGCAATCTAACCTAGGATGCTTACAACACTTTACAGATTTTGTAGGCTGAGAGTCTGAGTGTCTCACACTTTGCAACATACCTTGGTCTCTGTGTTGCAAGGACACCAAGGCATTATTACAGGTAACTACTCATATGGCTCTTTTCATTCTTAAACTATGCTTCCAGGTTAAGCATGTGGGAGGAAACACCTCTAAGTACATTCCAAAGAGTCTCTAGGATGGTAGGTAATTTGCAAATGGACTAGCCTGGGACTCAGGCATAAGGCTACTGCTTACTATTTCCTGTAGATGCTTGATGTCTTAACTCCTATGCAGAACAGATCACAGGGCCTGTCCTCTAAACATTTATATACCAAGACAGTGTGTCAGTATGTATGTCATTTACTCATCTGCATTTATTGAGCCAGTTCTACTACATGTCAGGTCTTGTGCTTGTTCTCAAGAAGCTAATAGTTAGTAGGAAAATAGACAAAACCCCAATTACCATTCTATGTGATAACTTCTAGAAAGAGACAAGGTCCTATGGGAGCACAGCTAAGAGCACCTAACCCATACTGGGGTGGGACAGGGCTAGGTGGCAAGCAACAGGGAAGGGTTCAGCAGGGAATTGATGCTTAGTCTGAATAATGAAGGATAAACAGGAATTAGGTAAGAAAAAGGTGGAGGGTCAGGACATAACAAGAAAAAGGAGTAGTATATGTAAACATGACATACATGAGAGAGTATGAGAAGAGTGGAGAACCCAAGTAGTTTGCTGTGTGCAGAGTTATTCATTCCACGTAGTTACTATTATGCTTGTCTCCCTCGCAATGTTTGAGTTCTTGAGATAGTGTGTAATGGTTTCTCTGTCCCCAGGTCCAGCAGTAGGCACAGAGATGGAGCACAGTAAGTGATGAATAACAGTATTCATTCAGGAATGACATGAATGACAAGGGGTAAGGGAGAATAGTTAGGAAGAAGGTTAATGGAAGAAGGTTATTATCTAGTGACAGTGAATAGGAAATGGGATAGGTTTAAGAATGACTTGGGAATTAGAATGGATAAGACTCGCTATATTGGTGAAAGTGAATAATGACTTTTCAGGTTTCTGTTTGGATGATACATGGATGATACCAGTAATAATGTTGTTAATAATAATAGCTAATATTCATTAGACATTCTGTCATGCAGTACAGCATTTTACATGTACTAAACCATTTGCTCTCTCACGAGTCAGAGAGGTAGATACTCTTATTATTCCCATTTACTGATGAGAAAATTGGTACTATTAGAGATCAACTTGACCAAAGGCACCCAGCTAGCACTAGTGATTTCAATCCCAGAAATCCTGATTGCTATAGTCATACACATAATCTACTCTTCTTTACTGCCTCTAACAGATGTGATCAACATTAAGAATGATGGTCCTGGTCAGTATGTCTATCACATAAATTCCATGTCTTTTACTAGACACAGAGACACATACGGCGATCGCTTCTTACTGATCAGATTTTGGGAGCTTGGTTCTGTATTTTCACTTTTCCTACCCAGAGAACCTAAAGTGCGGTGGAAGTTTGATAAAAGAGTTGACACAAAAAATGAGAGAAGGCGGATACAGAAAGAACATTCTCGAATGCTCTAGCCACTGATCAGATGATGGAATCTGGTTCTATCAGCCTTCCTCTGCTTCCATCCCTCATACACACACGCACACGCTGTAAGATACATATGGACGCCAAGTTTGAGGTTGGTTCTAGTAGTCCTCAACTCACATCGGAAGTTCATTTCCCGACTCCTGGACAGTCCAATACGAAGTTAACTCGAGGCGCCCATAAAGCGCAGGGAAACTTGGCTCAGCGCCGCGGATGCTCGTTCCCAGGGCAACCGCCCGCGGAGGCACCTGGGGCACGCTCCTCGGCACCTGCGAAGAGCCCCGCCTGGCGCCAGGGGGCGCGGGAGCGCGTCGACTCCTCCCGCCCCACGCCAGCCCCACGCCAGTCCCGCCCCCGCCCCGCCCCCAGCCCCGCCTTCCCTCCACCGGGCCGGGCCGCTCCCGGCCCCCGGCTCCGCTCCCGGCGCAGGCGCAGTCCCGCTCTCCTTCGGCGGCTCCCAGCGCAGTGCGCCCACCTTCGTTGAGTGTAGCGGCGTCGACCGGCCGGCAGTCCTCTTCTTCCTCTTGCTGCCTCAGGACAGGCTCTGTACAGCGCTGCGAGCGCCCCTGAGCGCAGGCAGCGACCGCGGTGGTTTCGGCAGGTGAGGGCAGCCGCGGGAGGGAGAGGCCCCGGACACGGAGCACCGCCCCCCTCGGCGCCCGCGCGCCCGCCTCTCTCCCGCGAGCCGGCCTGGAGGGGCGGCGGTGGCAGGTGCAAGTGCGGGCGCGGCGCGCGACGACCTGGCCCGGCCGCCCCTGCCCGGCAAGCGCGCTCCCCCATCTCGGCACACGGGCTTGGAGAACCTCGGTGGAGGCGGCGGCGGCCGGGGGCGCGGCGCGGCGCCTCGGGGCGTCTGGGGCCGCTGGGGCGTCGGGCGGCGGCGGCTCCTCCCCCGCCCCCCGGACGCGGGCGCGTTACTCATTAACTGCGCGGTCCCGAGCGCCCGCGGCTGTGAGCCGGAATCCCGGTTACCTGTCGGGGGGGCGCGCGCGGCCGGGAGCTGGGGACCTGCGGTCGCGGAGGGGGTGGGGGTCTAAGAGTTCCCCGAACAAGTGTGCAGCCCCGCGCTGCGCGGGACCTGGAGCAGGGTGAAGCCGCCGTAGGCTTGGACCTGGGGTCGTAGAAAAGGACAAGCGAGGCTCGGTGCCGAGGCGTAGAGGTCACGCTCGGCGGGTTTCGGCGAAACCTGGGGGACCGGAGCGAGCGCCCGGAGTCGCGCGCCTTAGGGTGGCAGCGCATTTCAGCCTGACTTTTGTTTCGGGGAGTTGAGAAGAGCTGCACCGACGTAATTGTAATTACACTGCCCTTTCAGCGTTGACAACTCTCTGACCGCCCTGGGACCAGCCGGCTCTAATGGACTCTAGAAGTGATGATGTTAGGTGGAATCTGCAGCACGTGAAGAGTTGCCAGTTGTTATGGGATTAAGAAAACAAATCTGTAATGGCTAAAGGGTAAGGTCTCGAAAATTAAGAATGCTGAGTTCATACTGGTCCCTAAGAAGCAGACAGTTTAGTTTTATGGAAATATAGCATATTTTGAGGCTACCTGTTTCACACACCTCTGTTTCTCCCTCCAACTCCTTCCTTTCAGTGTAGGAAAAAAGCCGTGTAATCTTTTGCCGTGGAATGATTACATAATTGGAGGAGACCCATAAGCGGATTAAAACAAAACTGTTCTATGTAAATCTGTTGAAAGACCCAGTTTTTGTTCATTATCCTCTTTCTTATTTTGTTGTCCGTAGGGTTTTTGTAAAATGGTGGATGACAAATCAAGGAGAAAAGAAGCAGAATAGATTTGTAGACTGATCACAGTAAATATTTGATACTGTTAAATATTCCACCAGGTTTATGGGGCCTTGTTCTGTTAACATTTGTTATTTATTTACCAGTACTGTGCATTTTGATAGGACTTTTCATGTTCGGACAGACATTGAATCCCAACTATGGTTTATGTGATCTAATCCTAAAGCCCATGTAGAATTTATAGAAGTTAGTTTAGCAGTTCTACATTTGTACTACAATAGTGCATTTCTTACTACTGGAAGAAAAGCCTTATGAGTTTTTTTTTCTTTTTCCAGTACAGTAAAGTTACATATTAGTCCATACCTTTGTTAACCAAAGTGGACACTTTAATATAACTCTTCCTTGTGTGTTTGGCAAACAATACTGCTGTGGTATTAGATACCTGTACCCTTTCACTAGGATGGACATTTGCTGTTCAGCTACTTGAGGGGTTTCTAATTAGATCCAGTTGTACTTTTTGAATCAGTATAGGTATGCGTATGCTTCCTTTAATATTTTTTTCCTATAATTTTCTTTAAACCCTTAGTTCACCACAACACATACATAGACATTGCACAGATAATTTTTACAATGGAAGGTTTCTTAGAAATCTAGGTCCCTATCAATTTTTAATATGGCAGAACAAAAACGTGTAGGTTACAGTAATTTTGCATGTATTATGGTACTTAGTAAACCTTTTTTTTCCCCCTTCCTGAGAGGGACTCACCTAACCAGTTAGCTAGCTAGCGAAATGAAAAATTTTTAATGTTTTAAAGCTTTAGCTTCATTACTTACCGTGCATGTGACCTTGAGTAAATCATTTAACCGTTCTGAGCTTATTTTCTCTATTTGTAAATGGATAGAGTGAATTTGCCAGCTTTCAACTATTTTTACCTATTTATTTATTTTTAAATATATTATTAATTTACTTAAGTAATCTCCACACCCAGCTGGGGGCTCAAACTCACAACCCCGAGATCAAGAGTTTCATACTCTTCCAACTGAGCCAGCCAGACGCCCCTCGATTCTTTTTAATGTCGTTCAGCCTGATGTGAATATCATAATGAGGGGATGAGAATCAAATGGGATAGTCCATGTGAGGTATGGGAGTGGGAGAAAGGAACAGATATTAGCTTGGTAGTTGGCCATACACTGTGCTTGTTGATTTACATACCTTGACCCCTTTGGTCCTCAGGACATTCCTGGGGTATAGATGGTATTACCACATTATACAGATCAGAGAACTGAGGCTCAGAGAGGCAAACTAACTTGCCTGTGGGTACTTAGCTGTCAGTGGTCCTGTAGATGATTAATGGTAGAGCCAGGGTTAATGGAACTCCTAACGTGCTTGCTCTTCCATTCCTTTCTACATCTTCTGTGGAAGAGCTTTGTAATTATAAGGAGACCTCAGATAAAAGGTGTTACTGTCATTTGAATTTCTGGCTACAAAGTATCCAGGTTTTTTGGTGATGGCAATACCACTACTGCTACTACTATTATTGAACTTACAACTTACTCTGTGTCAGGTTCTGGTATAAACACTGTACCAAGTCATTTACTCTGACAGTGACTTACGAGTTAGCTACTGTTTTATTCCATTTTATTTCATTTTTATTTTTAATTTTAGAGAGCATGCAACTGAGGACGAAGGGCGGAGGAAGGGAGAGACAGAGACAGAGACACAGAGAGAGAGAGAGAGAGAGAGAGAGAAAATCCCAAGCAGGCTCCACACTCAGCAAGAGCCTGATGTGGGGCTCGATCTCATGGGATCATGACCTGAGCCTAAATCAAGAGTTGGACACTCAACTGACTGGGCCACCCAGGCACTCCTGCTTTATCCCATTTTATAGTTGAGAAGATTGAGACACTGAGAGGTTATGTAGCTTCCTTAAGGTCACACAGCTAATTAAGTGATAGGACTAGATTAGAAGTCAGGCAGTTTATCTTTAACCACTGAGAGCAGTGCTCTTAACCACTTTGCTACTTCATGTGTAGGTTGTCATGCTGAAGAATTGTTTTAATTAAGCTTTTATGTGATACTTAGCATAATAAGTAATTCTTTATGTGTCACCAGAGATTTTTAAATCAAATATTCATTGAGCATCTACTTTGCAGGTCACCGTGGGGGTTAAAGGAAAGTATTCATGGAGTGTGAAAGGCAGACCTTATAATCATTCCTGTAGCTTTTATAAGTTCCTCAAAATTTAGAAGGCATCTGTGTTTCTCATATATGTGTTATTGTTGTAATTGTTTTTTTTTTTAATGTTTATTCTTTGAGATACAGCCAGAGTGTGAGCAGGGGAGGGTCAGAGAGAGAGGGAGACACAGAATCTGTGTCTCTGAGGCAGGCTCCAGTCTCTGAGTTGTTAGCACAGAGCCGGATGCAGGGCGCAAACTCATGAACCATGAGGTCATGACTTGACCCGAAGTTGGGCGCTTAATGACTGAGCCACCCAGGCACCCCATTGTAATTTTAACGAGTGCCAAATAACACAAAGTGCTAGAATAGTTGGAGAGTGGAGAGAAATGATGAGTTGTGGGTAGAGATACTGTGTGTTGGTTGAGGTAATGAGGGAGACCTTTCAGGATATTCTGAGGAGGTACACTTTTCAAGTGTAAAAGCTTTGTCTTGTGTAGAGTTTTGGTTAAGGTATAGTTCAATAAAGGATAGTAACTTGGTTCCTAAGTTACTTAAGTACACTTGATATTTAAAAATAAAATAACAAAACTTTTGAAAACTCCTGGCTAGCTAATTTCTCCTTTTCTCTACTGATCTCCTTAGCTTTGCTAGGTAGTACTTTTTTTTTTCTCTTTTATTCTTCCAGAGCACTGAGTAAATGCCTCTATTTTGATATTTATTAGTTTTGGTATTCATACTGTCCTGTAAGTTTTGTTGACCTTGAGTTCCCTTCCTCTAGTGTGCACATGCTTTGAAGGCAGGACTTAAGTTATCCTAGCCCATTTTATAGTGTTTGAACTGGGCCTGGTATACCTGTAGGTACTGGGCTGTGTTTGGTGATGGGTGTCAGTGGAAGAATGTCGGGATGTATTGAAAGTCATCTAGCAGTAGTAATGGAAATGTGTTCAGAGTGAGAACTGTGTGGGCTAAGGGGAGGAAGAGAGGGATACTTCCAACAGGTAGCATTAACTTGCTCTCTGTGTTTTTCTCTTCTGCTTTCCCTTTCAGTTTACAACAAATGAGGCAGTTTCATAAGCTTCAGCTGTATCTAGTCATGGTTAGAAAGAAGTGAAATAGTAGTCTTGATTTATCTTAGAATATCAGCAACACAAAATTGGATAGCTATAGCCATAAGCTGAGATTACTTAGATCAGAGGAAAAGAATGAAAATTTCTGTAGTTAACAGGATTGTAAACATAAGCATAATGGAAGTTAATAGAATTCTACATATATGAATTGACAATCTAGTATAAAGGAAATCTATGGAAGAATGTGAGAGTACCTTAGAAGTTTATAGGAGCGTACAAATGATAGCTTTGAACCAGTTAAGTGCATTGTAATTTTATGTGTCCAGATAATAGTATTGAGTATTTGGGGGCACCTGGTTGACACATCAGGGTAAAATATAAAAAACAAAAACAAAATAAATTCAAAAGGCAATAAGTAAATGTGTGTTAATTTCCTATTAGGAAAAGAATTATATTTGATCCCTAGACTTCAGAAAGAAAAACTTGTTTTCCCTTTTCTTTCCTTTTTTTTTTAAGTTTATTTATGTGTTTTGAGAGAGAGTGTGTGAATGAGTGGGGGAGGGGCAGAGAGAGAATTCCGAGCAGGCTCCCCCCTGTCAACGTAGAGCCCCATTTGGGTCTCGATCTCATGAACCTTGAGAACATGACCTGAGCCAGGATCAAGGGTCAGACGCTTAACTGACTAAGCCACCCAGGCCCCCGAGAGAAAATGACTTATATATAAATAACATATTGTTATATCTATATCTATCTATATACATGTAAATAACATACTGTTTTGGTCTTTTTCCTTATTTATATAGTGTTTGAATAAATTTGAAAGCTCTCTAATTAATGGAGAATTTCAAATAAGTAGTTGCAAAAATGTAATGGACCTCAGAGTTCCTGTCATTTAACCCCAGTAGTCAGCAAGAGGAGTCAGTCCTGCCACCTCTGTTTCTCCCCTTCTTGTATTATTTTGAGCAAATTCCAGGCATTGTATACTTTCATCTGTAAATATTTCAGTATGTTTTTTTAAAGTGTGAAGGGCAGTTAGCTACAATACTGTTACACACTTAAAAAAAAAATTAACAATAGGGGTGTCTGGGTGGCTTGGTACATTAAGCATCCTACTCTTGATTTCAGCTCAGGTCATGATCTCATGGTTCATGAGTTCGAGCCCTGTGTTGGGCTCTATGGTGACAGCACAGAGCCTGCTTAGTATTCTCTTTCTCTCCTCCTCTGCCCCTCTCCTACTCATGTGTGTACTCTCTCTCTCTCAAAAATAAATATTAAAAAAATAAAAATAAATTAACAATAATTCCTTTGTATCAAATATCCACACGTTTTTGAATACATAATAAGGCCGCTATAATAAAATCAAGTCTCTTTATTTTTATTTATATGCTTCCTTCATTCCCCTAAGTTCTATAAGAGGCTAAATAAGTATTTTATTTAAAAAAAATTTTTTTTAACGTTTATTT